GCACTCAATGTATGGGAAACACTGTAGTCTCATAATTGAAGTGTAAATTCTGCAGATTACATCATTGTTCAGTATTGTACTGTCAGCAATTTCTCTGTAAAAAAAAAATGCACTGCATAATTTCTCAAAGGAACAGTTCACCAAAAATGAAAACACTACATTTCTGTCATTTTTTGCTTACTCTCATGTTGTTCCAAACCTGTTGATTTTTTAATCTTCTATGAAACACATACAGAATAATTTTGAAGATCCTTCACACAGCTTTTTTATATACAGCAGCAGATTATAGTGACCAAGCTCCAAAAGGGATAAAAAAAGAACCATAAAATGTGAAGCTATACAATTTTTGTTTACAACAAACCAAAATTTGTCATTTTTGAGTTAGTGATCCAAAATCGAGAATCAAGTCAATTCAAGTCACCTTTATTTATATAGCGCTTTTAACAATATAGATTGTGTCAAAGCAACTGAACAGCATTAATTAGGAAAACAGTGTGTCAATAATGCAAAATGACAATAGTAAACAGGGCTATATGCTAATAGCGGACTCGGGACGTCAAAAATAGAACTAGTGATAACAAGGCGCTCTGATTGTTTTTGTTGTAGAATACGATAGGTGATATATTCACACGTTATAGAAACGAAAATGATGGTGTGTAAAATTGATTTTAAGATAAAAATTAGACGACAAAAAATTAACTTGACGGAGCCAAACTCAAAACACACGGCAGCAACAAACAGGAAGTGACCAAGAACTTCCAGAGAGTTAGCGTTCCAATCAAACCAATCTGATTTGTGTTCTTTTGAGTCGGTTCTTTTCAGTGAACCAATTGATCTGGTTCACAAATCTGGCTGGTCACTTTGTTTTGCAATTACAATGAGTGAGAAGTAGGCTACTGGAGATTTAAAGCTTCAAAAGTCCTTATTCATGGATAATCTTCCTCTCCAAACAGACAAGAAACTCAGTAAGTTGAATTTGAGAACAGAATCGGTCTGATTCAAAACTTAAACAACTAATTCATTAAAAAGATAGGACTCAGAAGAAGAATCTGTCATTGCTAGTTCTCGAATTAACTTTCAAAGAGATCTAGGGCAGATGTCAATACTTTCAGAGAATAGCGTTCCTCACAAAAACCTGACATATGACTTCAGAGGACTTAAAATATAGTCATATAGAGTCATATGAATCACTTTTTCAGCAAAAACCTTTTATGTTCCACAGAAGATAGAAAGTCATACAGGTTTGGATCAATGTGTGGGTGAGTTTACAATGTGAACTCTACTTTATTGGCTGTCTCATGGAGTCAGATGAGTAGGAATGATAAGCCACTCAGAATTTTATTTCCAGAGAGCCTGTTATTAAAAGAGAGGCTTATTCTTTGGAGAGCAGGGCCAGGTCTTAAACTCTCTGTTACACTATTGAGCAGTTTGTTGGCCAGAAACACAGTCACTCTGTTTCTTTCTTACTTGTCTCTCTCTCCTATCCTCTCCATCAATGTCTTTTCTTTTTTCGTCTTGCTCTGCTGTGCTAGACTGAGACTATCCCAGGAGCCCCGGAGGTGAGCTGTGGCTTTAGGTCTGACACACTTCTGAAATGCACCGACTTCCTTTGAAAGACGAGCACAATATCCTCCTGTCTTCTGAGTCTGTAAATCATGAGAGCTCATTGCACAAGTGATCTGTGTTGTCTTGTGCATGCATAAGATGCACTGCTCTCTGTCATTTCATGGATGTTCCTGACGTGCAGATTTCTTTGAGTTTCTATGATTGGTCTTCTCACATCTGCCACAGACATGTGTTTTTCCTTCACATCCCATATGGCCACTTATTTGCAAAGTTTCCATATGGTGAGTTTAATCAAATATTTTTGAAATGTTAGCAGAATCAGAGCATTCAAGATCCTTGTATCTACTTTATCAAGTGCTTATACAGTAAATAAGCCTTTTCTGGACCCACTTTATATTAAGTGGCCTTAACAACTATGTTCTTACATTTAAATTAATAATTTGGTACAATGCACTTATTGTGTACATACATGTTTTTACATTGTACTTATATTTTAAAAATACCTGCATGTAATTACATCTGTAATTAATTTCTGTAATTACATTTATAATTACACAGTTGTAATTGACCCATCCCTTACACCTTAACCCACCCTTAAACCTACCCATACCACCAAACCTGTCCCTAACCTTACCCGTATCCCACCTCAATAGCAGCACAAGTGATTTGCAATACAATATCAACACAATAAGTACATTGTACTTAATTTTTGATGTAAATACATAGTAGTTAAGGCCACTTAATATAAAGTGGGGCCCCTTTTTTATATACAACAATTGTTTTGTGAATTTTCTACAGATAAGTAGTGTTTATCCATTCATTATGATGTACTATTGTAAAATCCATTGGTGGAGGATGGACCAACTTTTAAAACACATTTAAAATAGATTTCCTGTCATATAGAATGATACATTTCATACAAATTATTGGTGATACCTACTGTAATGCACAGCCTTGAGAGGTTTATTGCTTGTATTAAACAGCAGCAAAAGCAATATTATAAAATATAGCAAATGTAATAAAATTGTATGATAATAATCAAAAATAAATATTAGATGTAATAATTATAATAGTTATAATAGTAACAACAATAATAAATAATAATTTATTATTATTATTATTATTATTATTATTACATTGTTCGCAGAGCTTGACATTAACACCCGCCAAATGCGGGTGGATTTCAGCTGTGGCGAGTAACACGGCCACTCCCACTAGCCACTCTGGCGGGTTGAATTTTACATACAGTAACAGACCTCGACATTAATACTTGTCGGCATTAATGAAGGGGCAAGTGAAAGGGAATTTTACTTGTCTGACCGGACAACAAACGTGATTAAAACATCTAATTAGGTGTGCCGTGCCGCAACAGCTAAAGTCTGTCTACACCATAGACTGTAAAAAAGTCAGCCGCACCACACGGATACGTTTTCTACGTTTATTTACACTTTGATATGAACGAAAACAGCGTATCTGTGTGGTGCGGCTGACACATACAAGTAGAACATCATACGCAGTTTGCATTCAGTGGATACTCTCCAAAATGGCGCTACGGTGACGCGGTGGAGACGAATTGTTTAATAAAGTTGTTATTTTTGTTTTCTTTGCATACAAAAAGTATTCTTGTAGCTTCGTAAAATTATGGTTAGTGTTAACGGATTATGCAGTTACTTTTTTGGTGAACTATTCCTTTAAGACAATTACAAAATTACAAATTACAAACCTTGGTCAGTGGGCAGAAAAAACACTCCTACTGTGAACAGTCTGCCCTCCTCACTTCTGAAATGATTGCGACAAATGTCAGAAGACATTCAGGGTATCATTTTATGTGTACTACCAGTTGGCCAATATTAGTGCTTTAGAGCTCTTTAAAAGCACAGATTTTGTCCTGATGGTCCTTGTTTAGACTACTGGATGAGTTGCTTTAGACTCAGTGTGCTGTGAGAGCTTCTGAGCAGATACAATCTGAGCGGGATGTGGACATGATGAATGGTTTAGTGTAAGAGGTTGGCACTTCACTGCATTTTCATGGTCTGTTCTCCATCCCTTCTCTCTCTCTATCTCTCTGACTACCACACACACACACACATACACGCACACACACACACACACACACACACACACACACACACACACACACACACACACACACACACACACACACACACACACACACACACACACACACACACACACACACACACACACACACACACACACACACACACACACACACACACACACACACACACACACACACACACACACACACACACACACACACACAGGGCTGCTTCCCCCTGCTGGGCTGGATAGGAGATGAGGGGGAGGGGAGGATTCTGGTAGGTCTAATGCTGATTATGGTTCTGGTTGGTTCTTGCACATACATGGATATTCACATATGCACATGACACCCCAAGCAACTGATTTATCAGCTATGGACCTTTTTCGCATTTCCGGGTTTCTCAGCAGCGGAAGTCGTCATAGTTGGGTTAACTTGAATAGCAGTGAATGGGAGAGCACCACAAATATATTTTTTGCATTCCCATTTGCTCAAATAGCAAAAGAAAAACTCCACGATAGTGTCTTCATGACTTTCAATAAAAGGAAAAAAATTGAGAGAGACTGATAAAAGCTGTCA